GCTGCCAGAGGAGTCACACACCTGCCTTGTGGGGTCAGAGGGCCAAGAGGGTCTGTGGGTGTCCTCTGTGCACGTCTCAGTCCCCCCGAGCTAACCCTAAGCCCAGCGCTGCCCGGAGTGGAGCAGTGCCCCAGGGCGCGTCCCTGGATACTCGTCCTCAGTTTTCAGCCAGGCCACTCCACGTGCAGGCACCTTCCCAGGGAACCGAGCTCAGCAGCTGCCCAGCCCTCCGCAGCTCTTCAGCCCTGTCCGAGCCCTTTCCAGTCCAGCCCTGTGCTTGGGCTTTCACATCAAACGGGTCCCCTTCTCGAGGCTTCTGCCAGAGGCCAGTGGGGATCCAGGCCCAGGGCCCCGACTGATGGCAGCCAGGGGCCACTTCCTCTAACAGCCACTTCCCACCCAGCCCTTCCTCTGCAGCCTTACCTCAGGCCGGAAGAGCTCTAACCCTCCCCAGTGCTGCAGAAACCATCTTCTGGTTCTCCCGTGAGCTCCAGCAAGGGACCCCGTCCTTGCGCCTCCGTCTCAGCCAGGAGCCGGCCTGCAGCCCCTTCTCTCTGGGCCTGTTGGCTCTGGTTGGCTGGTTCCCTGCACCCTCTCAGGCAGGCTGGAAGCAGGAACTTCACTGCTCCTGTCTGGACAGAGTGCGGCCGGGCCACGAGGCCTCCTGCAGGGGCCTCCAAGGGCCCGCAGCAGCCCCTCGCCAGACCAGACATAGCGGGTAAACCACACGGCAGCTCGGGCTCCTCGGATGCCCAGTAGAAAAGGGGGGCAACCACTGCTCAATGAAAGGGGGGAGTCATTCACATTTTCGTAGGTGACTTCTTAGCAGTTCCCAATGTGTTTTCTGAGCTCCCGCTGTACTTGTGCGGTTGGGGATGCCTCGTGGCCCGGCCGCACTCTGCATTCCCTTTGTGGGGCCTTAGCTCCATTACCATGCGCTCCTGATGGTTTTCCCATTCTTGCTGAGCTGCCAGAAAGCCGTGTGAGGATGATTATGAAATTAACCAGCGTCCCCACTGCTACTTACGTTGGTTTGGCCTCACTGCAGCAGGAGCAAATAGATCCGAGTGCTTTGACTCCAGACACAGCTCTTCCCCTTATCCGCGCTGCTCTGTTCCCCCCCACCGCAAAGGGTGTGAAGGGACAGCGCAGGCGTCTGCTTCATTTCATACTTGGCATCTTTCCGATGAGGAAACGCTGCCTGGTGCGGTGGCAATGTGGGGGTCTGTGCTACGTCCCACTGCTGGGCCTGGGCCCACGCCTACGGCCTCCTCATGGGAGGGAATGAACTGCCCTGCCCTGCTGCTGCTGCAGGGCTGTGGAGAAAGCAAGTCTGGAGCTTCCCTCTAGCATGAGCACGTGTCTGACCGATCGCCTCCCTTCTTGTCTCCTTATTTCAACAGAGAGATACTGCAGGAGATTCAGCGCCTCCGGCTGGAGCATGAGCAAGCCTCCCAGCCGACCCCCGAGAGAGCCCAGCAGAACCCAACGTTGCTGGCAGAACTCAGGCTGCTACGGTAAAAAAAATCTAAAACTTGACAGCATGTGACATATTGTCCCTTCGCCGTGTGGCCTGCGCTCTTGGAAACCCGGCACCGGGCGCAGGGCGCTCACGGAAACCTGGAACCGGGCGCAGGGCGCTCACGGAAACCTGGTACCGGGCGCAGGGCGCTCTTGGAAACCTGGTACCGGGCGCAGGGCGCTCACGGAAACCTGGTACCGGGCGCAGGGCGCTCTTGGAAACCTGGTACCGGGCGCAGGGCGCTCTTGGAAACCCGG